AATCATTGTTAATATTTTGTTGTATGTCTTCCTTTCCTGACTTGCATGCAAAAAATGTACTTGTCAACTTTTTCCTGTGTAAATGGTCCATTACCATCCCATGCTTGTTCTTCTTGCTTCACGAATGACTGTCCCATAGATTTTTCAAAAAGGACAGATAAAACAAATCATTTAAAATGGTTGCACAGAATTCCATTGTGTGCCTGTTTTTAGGCAGTTCCAAATTTTTGCTCTATTAAAACAACATACATACCCCACAGTTAGGAAGTTAGAAAGACATAAGATAAGGTGTCTATGTGATAAGATGAATATAAAAAATTTACGGTCAAGATCCTGGACATACTTGGGGGGTTCAAGGACTGCATATATGCACACTAGCAGTTACAAGTTTTCTTTGGGAAAATTATATACTGGGTGGAATATTGCCTGATGAGGGGTTCATAGCTTGACCTCTATATTCATTTAGTGGAGGGGGGTGTCCCCTTCCCAATTTTGTGATATTGGAATCTTACTAGTACCCACCTGTCAGTTGAAGTGGGAAAAGCCATAGACAGTGCTTAGCAAGCTTCAAAAAAGAATACAAATTTACACTTTTTACAATTGCTAGAAAATATTGTCAGTTTTGGCTTAAAAGTGAATCAAGTCTTTCCTTAAAGGACGATTCGTGTTTGCGCTGTCTCTCACACTTGCTTTTAGGAAGAAATGCTAATGCTGGTTATACATTCTGTCCAGGCATAAACTGCTTTTGTGGCGGTGCTAGGACTTGACAGGTTCATGACTGCCGTTCTTTTTTCCTTTCAGTACATCCGGCAGTGGTAATTCGACAGCGAAAGTCATACCGGAGAAAAGATGGTGTGTTTCTTTACTTTGAAGATAATGCAGGGGTCATAGTAAACAATAAAGGCGAGATGAAAGGTGAGAAAGCAGTCCACGTTGTTGCCTAGCTCTCTGAGTTTGGATGGTTTAACTCTGATCTCTACAGGCAAAGGACCCTCTGATGTCTTAACCTGTCTCTCATCTTTTTTTTTAATGTAGGTTCTGCCATTACAGGACCCGTTGCAAAGGAGTGTGCGGACTTGTGGCCCAGGATTGCATCCAATGCTGGCAGCATTGCATGATGTCCAGTATGTTTGTAAAAACATTAAAAAGTATTTGATCGCAATGCTTGCCTCCCTGTTCATTTCTACACCCTTGACACCCCCTGACGGTTGTCTTCTTTGTAAAACGAAACTAGTGGTGGCGTGCCTGTACTCCCAGCTGCTGAGGTGGGAGAATCGCTTGAGCCTAGGAGTTCAAGTCCAACCTGGACAACATAGTCAGACCCCATCTCTTTGAGGTGGGGGGGAAAGAAACATGAAAACTTTGTCCAGGCATGTGTAAAAAAAGATAGAGTCCTTGCCCTTTGGTGAGCTCACAGACTTTTGGCACTTTCCAGTTTCTGTATTTTCCATTTTAGCTGTTAAAAAAAAGTTAACTTGGGTTTCAGGTCCCTAAAATAAATTGCAGATAGTAGAGACCGCTTAATGACAGGTTACCCTGTGTAACCCATCCTGCAGTGGGAAGGGTGAGGTTGAGTGCATGGTTAGATCCTGGGCACACGCAAGGATTTCAAGGAGTGGCATGAACAGTAGCCTGTTTGTATATATACACGCTTTTTAGCAGTTACAGATTTTCTTTGGATAAATTAATGTAAATGAGTTAATATTTGTAAAACTTAACACATGGTAATTGCCATATGAATTTACTCATGGTGGAAGATGATTAAGTTGACAGTACCTGTAGATGTTTTGCTGCTAGCAAAATGTTTTGACAAACAGGTTGACTGCATGTTGTTTTTTTTTTTTAATTTTTAAACTTTTCTTCTCTTTTTGTTAAAAAAAATTATTTCATTTTCCTTCCTTCAACCACAGTAGAAGACTGTATGTTAATATTCCAAACTTTTGTACTTTGGATTCCAGACTCTAGTTTGAGAACGTAAGGGGAGTTGTGCCAGCACAACAGTTATAAACCCTGGCAAACCCAGATGGGCGGTCACACTTTTAATAGGGAGTTGCACCTGAAGGTAGGCAGTGGTTGGCATTTTTCCAAATTGCATGAGGTGACATAGTATTTGGGAAAGTACTAGTTTGGGTCAATTATGTGGAGGAAAGTTAGACCAAGCTTTTTTAGGTGGAGGTTTATGTTCATACATCTGTATCTGAAAATAATCAGCCTTAAGTGTTAACTAAGTTGGGTATAATACAAAGCTAAATATTAGAATATATACGAAGGACCTGGCATGTAGTCACTTGGTGAGATGACTACCCTTTTGTCTGCTAAAACTAGGTATGGAATGTACCAGAACTAGAGTGCTGGTTCTAACCTGGAGAGTTTTAAAATGTTTCCAAGCCTTACCTCAGACCAATTAAGTCAGACTATGGAGGGTAGAATCCAGGCATCAGTACTTTTTAAAGCTTCCAGGTGATTTCAAGGTACAGCCAAGATTGAGAACCAGTGCTGTGTCTAGGCTGAGCCAGTCTTGGTTTTAGGAGTGTTAAATCCAGAAATCTCTAGTTGTAGAGATTTAGACCTTAAGCTATTCCCGAGTCTGGTGAATTTCAAATCTGCTTTAGTGTGGTATGAACCCTCCAGGCCAACCATTTAAAATGAATCCTTATTTTTATGCCTTATCTTTATTTATAATGATAATGTATAATCCTTACATGTTATCCCTAATAGCTGCTACTTCAAATTTTATTTTTCATAGATTTATTTTCTTAACTTGGGCTGAAACCTTGGTATTTGCATTTCACTGACGTATTTTCCTTATTTTTTGTTATGTCCTCCCAAGTTCTTTCTGTGTAAAAGGTTTCATAGAGGCTAGACACAGTGGTTCACACCTATAATGCCAGCACTCTGGGAGGCTGAGGCCGATGATTGAGCGTCTCTACCAAAAATAGAAAAAAAAATGAGCCTGGCATAGTCCCAACTACTTGGGAGGCTGAGGCAAAAGGATCACTTGAGCCGAGGAGTTTGGGGTTTCAGTGAGCTATGAAGATGCCACTTCACTCCACCCAGGGTGACAGATGCTCTCAAAAAAAGACAGGATTCAAGTTATCTCAGATTTGATTTATGGGAGCTTGCCTGTCATAGTAAAAAGATACTCTTGAGTAGTGAATTGCCAGGATTAGTGATTTTTCTGTACAGGTATAATGCAACCTTTTCCTAATTTGAAAGTAATACTTGTGCTTTGGTATAAAAATAGCGAATACAAAAGTAAATCCTGAGCTTGTTGCCTCATCTGTCAAATGAGGGTAATAGCAACTCAGGGTTGGTTTGAGGAGCACAGGAATTTGTATAACCTGCTTTGATATATAAAGCATCCATACAAGGGTTTATTAATATTTGGAGGGGCAATTGGGAAAATAGTATAAATTAGGAAATAATCTGTATCATAATAACCGAGATAATCATTGTTCACTAATCTATCATGTCTAAGATTAGGCCAAACACTGTGGTCAGTACCTGTAGTCCCAGCGACCTGGAAGGCTGAGGCGGGAGATTCCCTTGAGCCCGGAAGTCCGAGGCCAGCCTCGGCAACATAGTGAGACACCCCCTCCCCCGTCTCTAAAAAAATAAAAAATAGCCAGAGGGAAAGTATGGTCATGTGTATCGACCAAGTGTACTTTTTATTTTAAAAGGAGGATGAATATTAGCTAATGAAAAGATGTGGGGTGGGCAGGGGAGAAGGCTCTGTAAGTGGCCTGACCGAGGGCGTGAGACCTGAATTCTGGTTCTGGCTCTGCAGCTAACTGGATTTGGGGAACCTTTCTAAGCTTCAACTTCTAGCTCTGTAAAGTGAGAGCTGGAAGTATTAATAGACGCTGAACTCGTTCTGATCAGTTCTGCGTACAAGCTTTTCACTGGGACTGAGTTCAGGAATAAAATGGAATAGCGTGGGAAAAGAGCACCGATCTTGTTCTTAAAGGAAAACGGAGGGAGCTGGACCTGATGGCCGCCCACGTTCCATAACCCTTTCTCTCCCCTTCAGTCTCCAAATCCTCTGGCATAGTCAGTCTCCTCGTCACCCTCACCTCCCGGCCATGCAAGCAACTTCCCCCACCGTCATAAAGACCCACCGGGTCAACCCAGGCTGAATGGGGAAAACAGGGTTTGTGTCGCAGGGGTCCTTGACGTAACAATGCGCAGGGGAGACCCCATACAGGGCCCTTGTCTCCCACCATAAACGCCTTCCGGCTGCGGCTGCGGCGGTTGGGATGGCGTACTTGTGCGAGTGTCCTCTGCGACTGGAGAAGGGCTTTATCTTGGATGGGGTGGCCGTGAGCACGGTGGCCCGGGCCTACGGTCTCACGAGGCCCAAGCTGTGGTCTGCGATTCCGCCCTACAACGCGCAGCAGGACTACCACGCCCGCCGCTATTTCCAGAGCCACGTGGTTCCGCCCGTTTTGCGGAAAACTCATCAGGTATAGGAGCGTCGCGCCAGGTGACCCCACGCACCGCCCCAGATCCCCGCGTCTCACTGCAGCGCCCTCGCCACCAAAGAGGTGGCACCACTCCCATCCCCTCAGTTTTCTTAATGAAACCCGAGAATTGGAAAAGGAGGGTGACAGGTTGAGCGCAAGCTCTCTGGGCTCACAGAATGACCTCCAACCCTGAACCTGGGAATAATAGATTTATTTCGGGTGTCTGCAAGGCTAGCGAGTAGTGCTCAAAGCCCGCCTCTCCCAAACTAGTCAGTTTCATTTCCCATCGTGACGTCACGGGCCCGCCCTTTAGGGTGACTTCACACCGCCAATTCTCTACATGGTCTAGAATCCGTGTGACCTCGCCGAGAAAGACAAAGGGAACTTATTCGACCTGCAGCGCGAGGCGCCTTCCGCCCTGTGACGTCATAATGGCAGGGCTTGGGGCTCGCTCTCCCGGACCTTGGAGCCGAACAGAAGGAAGCCTCTCCAACCTCTGCGGGCCTCGATTTCTCCCTGGCCTTTTCCCTCCTGAGTGCTGGGCCCCTCCCCAGCAGAGTATTCCGCGGAGTCAGAGATTCTGAGGCTATTTGCTGATGCTTCTGTTTTATTTTCCAGCATTTTGCCTCCAGTATTTGCGTTTATATGTATCAGTGGTGGGAAGAGAAAGGAAAATTTATGGGGTTACTCTATGAACAAATCTGCGGTTTTTTGTGGTCTCAAATATTTGTGTTTGCACATGGGTGTACAATGCATGTACATGGACACGCATCTGTGTATCTAATCATGTAACTTTTATGTCAGAAGGAGCCAGAGTCTGGGGGTGGGGGAGGGAAGGGAATAACTTTTGAGTATTTAAAAGCTTGAAAAAATGCATACGCATTTTTTGAAATTTTATGTTTAATTTTTTTAAGTATTCTTTAATCGTCAAAACCACCGTTTGTGGTAGGTATTTTCATTTACATATAAAGATAACGTTTATTAAACCTTTACTATGCCAGACCCTTTATCTGTGCTAAGTCGCTTAAGTCTCACAGCAATGCTGCTTTCACTGATGAGGAAATTGAGGCCCAGAAACTCTGTGTCATTGGCCCAGCGTCACAGAGCTTGATCATGGCTGAGCTGGGATTAGAACCCAGTCTGTCTGGCCGCAGTCTGAGCCCTTAACTGCTAAGCTACACTGCTGCTCCTGAGAGGCAGTAGATCATTAAGTGTATTTAATGTGTCTGCCCAGTTATGCCAGGCTGTCAAGCTCTTACCTCTCCCCCCTCCCCACAACAAGCGCTGGGGGGATCTGCACTGTGCCCCTCTCTGCGTGATGGTTGACAATCTTGTGTTTTCTTCCTTGCTTTCAGGATCGCTGTGGTACAGGAAGGGATGGCTGGATAGTAGACTATTACCACATCTTTGGACAAGGACAGAGATACCTCAACAGGAGAAACTGGGCAGGGGCAGGCAAGTGCCACCTCTGTTTCCAGCCTCACCACAGGCTCAGTGAGGGAGAGTAGTGCACGTCCCACAATTCAGAGAAAGAAAGTAGGCAGTGGGGAGGCCTGTTGGGGGTGGAGAGGCCAAGGGACTGCCCCCTTCCAGCTTTTCTGCTTACATGTGAACAGATAGTGCCACAGTGCTCCCTAATATTTAGTTATTGAGCACTTACTGTATGTGAAGCACTTTTTACCCTCACACTATCCCCATGTTACAGCTAGGCAGACTGAGGTTTATTGAGTTAGAGTGATTTGCCAAGAAGGGCTGACCTGAGATTAGAATTCCACTCTTTCCGACTCTAAAGCCTGTGTTCCTCTCACTGCTCCCCGAGCAGGCTGTATTCTGATCATTTTCCAGGCCTGCCTTAGCAGCAGGAGAGAGTTCAGAGATACTTGGCAAGGTGAACGCTCCTCCCACCCCAACACCACCATCCTCGGCCACATTCTAGTCATATGATCCTTTGCACCATTCGGCCAGATTGATCTCATCCTTTTTCTCCAGATGGTCAGAGACAAGAAGGAGATTTTCTCATTTCTGAGAGCAAGGCAAGCTCTGCCAAGCCCAGAAATTTCTGGCTCTTCTTGTCCCAACACATACCATTCGCAGTCTTCCTGCAATAATTCCTGGTATGGGGGTTGATCTCTAGGAAGACTTTTGTCTCCTTGACTTCACCAGCCCTTGGCTTTTGAGTCCAGAGGCTCAGGACATTTGAAGCTTCAGTGTTCAGCTGTGGGCATGGGGAGCACCGTGACTACAGCTGGCTTGGCATCCCATACGAGCCGTATGGGAGTGGGTAAAGCAAAAGGGGGCTGAACGCAGGTTCAGCTCTCCATCCTTGCCCCCAAGGGCATTCCCTCCAGCAGGTGACCGGGCACAACCACTACAATGCTGATGTGAGACCCATCAACGGGTTCAATGGTCGGTTTGGCTACCGCCGGAACACCCCAGCCCTCCGCCAGCGCCCGTCCGTCTTTGGAGAGGTCACCCAATTCCCTCTCTTCTAACAGCATCTCTTCCCTTCACAGCCCTCGACCTGAATTTCTAAGATGTTTAGATGAACTCTCAATGTTATTTTATGTATAAAAAACATTTGTGTCTCCAAGTGTGCTGTTTCTTCCCTGGGGATGGAGGAGGGAGCAAGCTCAGCTTCTCTACGCTCTGGAGAGGAGGTGAGAAGAGAAAGGGCTTCTCAGGCCTGTGCCCTTGCACTCCATGCCAACGAGTGCCAGGCTTGAAAGCAGAGGCCTCACTTCTCCCCTGCCAGTGTGGTAAGAGGGAATCATGCATGCTACTCACCCCTCAACAAAGCACTTCCCAAGGTCAGAAGCTGTCTACTTGTGCATCATAGGATGTTTAGCAAAAATAAGAAAAAAAGCTGTCTACTGTTTCCATGATCATTACATATTCTATGCATGGAACAAGCACATGTACCCATAAATATGTAAATTATTATATATCAAAAAAGAGAAAAAAATAAAAAGAGCAGAGTAGGCAGTGCGGCCGCAGAGACTGGGATTGGTTGCCCTGAGAAGGGTTTCCTGATTTTCCCGATGGAGTCCTCCCATCCAAAGAACTGACATCTTCCTTTTCCTTTCCAACCTCAATTCATCAAGAGGCAGAAGGTAAACAAGATGATATCTGGGGTGTTTTTAGCCCAAATATTCTGACATAGTAATATTGCATTTGTGAACATTTTCTCTGCTTCGGCTATGTCAGTTTCCTTTTCAACTAATTTCCAGGATGTCATTTTTTCAAGTATCTGCATTCAGTTGCTTGGTGGCCAGGAGAAAAGCCAAAGCAGATGATGGATACCAAAGAAGGTGGGGCTTTATTAGAACACAGAGCTTGCCAGGACGCTAGTGTGGGTGGAACCTGACTACTTTGAGTCACCATACATGCAAAAGAAGACAGCCACAGTAAGTTGTGGGGTATAGCTCAGGGGTTGAGCATTTGACTGCAGATCCAGAAGTACCTGGTTCAAGTCGGGGTGCCCTCTTCCTCCTTTAGCTTTTGTCACTAGAAAAGACAAGTAACTTCCAACTCATTCTTGTCCTGAAACACTAGTTCCTCCCACATTCCAAGTGACCACTCGTGCAAAGCCCCTGAGAACCCCTTAGGCTTCAGTTAAGACAGTGTCCCTGAGGAAATTCTAAGATTAGGTCTGAGAGCTGTGAACACAATTGGGCAATCTGATGTATGACAGAGTAAAAGATGAAGATGTTCAAAGTTCAACATGTATTTTTGAAAGCTTAGTACATGCAAAGCCACCATAAATTCAAAGATGAAAAAGAGTCCCTGTTCTCGGGGAGCTTTTGGTTTGGCGAGAGTTGATACATTCACACACAGCTGTTAGAGGAAGAGCATTTTGTAGCTCAAGAAAAAGATAACTTTTAAAAATACCCACATACTGGCCGGGCGTGGTGGCTCACGCCTGTAATCCTAGCACTCTGGGAGGCCGAGGCGGGCGGATTGTTTGAGCTCAGGAGTTCAAGACCAGCCTGAGCAAGA